TCAAGCAACAAAGTCTAAACTGTTGAAGACACAAAGTCTTTGATGAAGCAACACATGATTGTGAGAAGCCACGTAGGCTTATATCAATGATAAGCGTGACAGAATGTCCGCTACGACGTTTCCTTTACATGGAATATGCTGCACTTTGAACTGAAAGTCCTGAAGCATCAGGGCTCAGCGAGTTACCCTGGAATTCACCGACTTATGTGTGTTTAAACAGCGTAAGGGTGCGTGATCTGTGCGGAGTATGAATGTTCTGCCCAACAGGTATATGTATCCACTTTTAGACATAGGGTTTATGGGACCCACAATGTCTACGGTCACTTTCTGAAATGGTCAATCTTGCAGATCTGTGACCTGTAATGAGGCTTTTGTATAACGATCTCTGGGCTTTGTACTGGCACAAGTGCTGCACGCTGAACAATATTCACATCTTTAAATATTCCTGGCCAGTAAAAGTTATTCAGAATTCTTTTTCTTGTTCGTGCTGTCCCCATATGACCCGCAAAAGGTGAGTCATGACCTTTCTCCAAACTTTCTTTTTCTTTCGGCGGCAGGAACGACTAGCTGTGGTTTCTCTTTGTTATCTCATCAGAAGTCCATTTTTCACTTTAAATTTACTGGTGGGACGCTTCGCCTATTCAAAAAGTTTAACCAATGTTTGGTCCTACTTTTGTTTCAATGCATAACTGGATGTTAATTCTGATTCTGGCTGTTCGATCTGACTATGTAGGATTGGTTGTCCCATGTTTTCTATTACACCAGATTGAGATCTAGTTACCGCATTTGTAACTTCTGACATTGCTGACCTGTGCCACTTGTAGATATCTGTGATGGTAGGCTCAGTTATGCCAGTCACGTTTCCTAGAATCAAGTCAGCTGCAGGCCTCTCCAACACACATGCTTCAACTTTCTCAGATAAAAATGGCGTATCAATGTCAATGACGGCTGTGGGATATTCTTCAATTGTTCCTCCAAATGTCATACATTGGACTTTCTTACCCGTCAACTGGTGAGGGTACACATGTAGTCTCTTCACTCCGATTGTGTTCGCTCCTGTGTCTCTCAAGACCCAAACAGATTTCTTCCCAACAAATCCAGGTTACATTTTTAATTTCCCAGCGTCACAAGTTACAGCTCCAGCCCTCTGGATCTGATCAGCTTCATGAGGGAGTTGTTCACAATGTTGATAGTCTATGCAAACTGACGCATTGTATGGATGTCCTGTTGGTCTTCCCCTATTGCTGGTTTTAAACTCCTGACATCTGCTTGAGCCCATAGTCTCATTTCGTCTTAATGGGCTTTTGTTTCTACATTGGGCTGCTAAATGTCCCGTTTTGAAACACTTAAAACATTTTCTTTTTTCAACAACACTTCTTTTCTGCAGACGGTCATGTCTCCATTCTAGTTTAAAGCGATTTCTATCATTAGTCTTTGCAGCAAAGGCAAACTTGCTAGTTATCAAGTCTTCCTCTCTCTGAATTGTCTGCTCTGGATGTGCTGACACAACTTGACTGCTGTTGGCACATCTTTTGGTTTCCTTTCATGTATAAAAGCAACTAACTGAGGATTGCAAGATGTGAGGATCTTGTCTCAGATGAACAGATCAATGAGACCTTCGAATGTGTTTTCAGTGTTAGACAATTCAACCCAACGCATTATGTATCTTGTCCTCAACAAATTCATGGAATGGCTGGTTTCTCTCTGGTTTAGCTTTAAGGAACTTCTCTCTATACCCATCATCTGTTAAGTTGTATCTTTTAATCAATACTTCCTTCACCTTGTCATATTCCTCTAAATCTTTCTTAGAAAAGTTGATACAAGCTTGCAGTGCCTTTCCCTGTAACAATGTATTAAGATGACTTCCCCACTGAGTTTTAGGTATTTCTGTAGCTTGAGCATGCATTTCAAATCTCGCCAAATATGCATTCATTTGATCCACGTTCTCATTGAAAGGTGGCAACTTTGGTTTCCATACAAGTTTGATATGCTCTTTGATTTCTCCTTTTGTCTCCCTAAGCTCCAACTCTCTGACTCTCAATTTGTGTATTTCTACATCAGCTTCTTTCTCTTTAGCTCTTGCTTCTGCCTCTTTAGCTCTCTCCACCGCCTCTCTTTCTTTAGCTCTTTCCACCGCCTCTCTTTCTTTAGCTCTTTCTTCTGCCTCTTTAGCTCTCACCACCGCCTCTCTTTCTTTAGCTCTTTCTTCTGCCTCTTTAGCTCTCACCAACGCCTCTCTTTCTTTTGCTCTTTCTTCTGTCTCTTTAGCTCTCACCAACGCCTCTCTTTCTTTTGCTCTTTCTTCTGCCTCTTTAGCTCTCACCACCGCCTCTTTCTTTAGCTCTTTCTTCTGCCTCTTTAGCTCTCACCACCGCCTCTCTTTCTTCTCTCTCTTTAGCACGTTCCTCACGCTCTCTGTCTTCTTTCTCTTTCTTTTCCAGTTTGACTTCTCTTTCTTTCACCCACTCCTGTAGAGCTGTCCCTGACAATTCCATCTCTTTTCCAGCGGCTATTATTTGTGATAATTTGTCTGCCATCCTTGTTTATGCATGTAGCATCAAATATAAACTTTACAAATTACTTTTTCACTGTGTATGACCTGGTTTCGTCTCTGCTGATTGACTTTTTTTTTTCTCCCGCCGTTGCATGTGAGCGCAGACACTTCACGGCCTTCTTGGTCCTTGACCTTTTCACAATGGCGAACCGCAGTTCTGCCTAATGTCTTGACTAAGTCAAGTAACTAGATAAACGAGCCCCCAAATATGTCACAGCTTTCCTATTCTATTTATACTTATAACTCGATAGAATCTCCCCTAGGTCTCGATACGTCTAGGTGTCCCTGGTTCAGTTCTAGTTAACGAAATAAAACAATGAAACCACTAGATCGAACACATAAACTTTAATCAGCTTTACTGTATATCACACACAGGCTGGTCTCTGTCTGACAACAAACACACTTCCGATCATTCGCGCAGATTGTAAAAATAGATTATACATACATACACACATTCATCCGTGACAATGATGTTTCTGTTTCTTTGGCCAACGATTAACGAGGGTGCCAGCACAACGAACAAACGCCTTTACTTTCCCCAACTAAAGTCAGGTGCCCGTTAAAGTTGGGAAGACTCAGGGACGTCCAAAAATTCACGAAATTCAAAATCCCAGTCTTCATCGAGATCCGAACCCAAGACCTCAGGTGTAATCACTCAGCCACCGCGCCCCATTACCTTGTCTAATGGGCAGTTAAATAATACAGACGTTACTTCAAAAGAGACTATGGTTACGTCCTACGCGTCATGCATCTAAACCAATGGCAAGGGGTGAACCTGAATCATAAACAATATGTTCGTTGATGGAGGATGTTCTGATGCCTTAAATGTGAATCTTAAGCACATGTATATGTTAATGTATATGGTAGTAAAAAAAGAATAGTTTCAAAATCATCTAATAATTTATTCATATAGCTAACTACTTTTGATACATTCTTAAACTTTACACAATGCTCTTGAGGACAGCTATACTTGGATGTCCATCATGTGGCATATATTTTGTGGGTCGATTACATATAAATTCCCCCCCCCCCCCTCGGGTCGATTATGAAACCCCTGCTGTGGAGAGAAGAAAGCTGAGCTGGTTTGATCATGTTGTAAGATCATCACTCACTGTCAAAAGTCCTCCTTTAAGATACAGTGGAGGGAGAACGAAGAAAGGGTCGTCCGAAGAAAAGCTGATTGGACAATGTAAAGATTCGACCGGCCTCTTCCCACTAAAAATAGCTGCTGACCAGTAAAAATGGAGGTATTTGGACAATCTGATATTTTTCTAGTTAAATAAATTTGGGACTATAACTCACATTTTATACTTATTTATTATTGAATATTATGCATCGAATAATTTTTTTTCGGCGGCGATCCTCAAAGCCAAAATCTAAATATGTGAGGTATCTTATCTTTTAAGGAACAAATCGGTTTTATTTGCAATGTACTAAGGGCCTATAAATTCATATTAGAATATTTTTCAAGTACAACATTATTCAAAAGGTCCTTTTTAATAGTATGAATAATGAGCTTTAGGTCACAAGAATGCGTTTCTTCTGTAAAGTATGCAAGAAAACGTTTTTGGCGTCGGGGCTTCGCCCGAACCCCACTGATGAATAATGACTGTACTTGTCAGGAGAATGCATTTCTGCAGTGAAGAATGCAAGAAAACGCTTTTGGCGTCAGGGCTTTGCCCCGAACTTCATTGATGAATAATAAGCTGTAGATGTCAAGAGAATGCGTTTCTGCAATGAAGAATGCAAGAAAATGCTTTCGGTGTCGGGGCGAAGCCCCGAACTTCATTGATGAATAATGAGTTGTAGATGTCAGGAGAATGCGTTTCTGCAGTGAAGAATGCAAGAAAATGCTTTTGGCGTCGGGGCTTCGCCCAGAACTTCATTGATGAATAATGAGTTATAGATGTCAGGAGAATGCGTTTCTGCAATGAAGAATGCAAGAAAACGCTTTTGGCGTCGGGGCTTCGCCCCGAACTTCATTGATGAATAATAAGTAGGAGATGTCAGGAGAATGTGTTTCTGCAGTGAAGAATGCAAGAAAACGCTTTTGTCGTCAAGGGTTCGCCCCGAACCCCACTAGGGAACCTTATAGCGCTGCCCCAGTTGTTATGTTTTTCGCTGAATGTTGAGAAATGCTTTTTTTTTAAATTCTCATATATATATATGTGTGTGTGTGTGCTGTACGCACGTTTATGCATAGGGTTAGGAAAAAAATCTCCCCCCCCCCCCCCCCCACTCCAAAGTTCTGGATCCGCTAGTGCATAAACCGTCAAATTTCTAGGAAAATATTTAAGCTTTTCTTCGAAATACCCGTCCATCTTTTTCCTTGCAACCGATATCCATGAGCAGAATGTAAGCTAATGGCAGGGATTCTTATCAATAGTAATTTTAAAAACAAACAATAGCTTTGAAAGATTTTAAAACATCAACAACAACAACAATACTCAAATGAATGCTTTTTTTATTTTTTTCTCTAGCTGTTACAAATTCTTTGACCATTCACCATTTTCTTAGTATACAAAGTAAACATTTGTGTTCAGTAAGGTTTGTACGCTATTTTGTAACTACAACATTGTGATTATGAATGTACAAACTGTGATGGCCCTTGGTGCCTAATGTTTCTTTAAGATTTTTGTTTTCGCGATGATCACGTTTAAACGTTTAACCAATTACAGTCTATGTTAGCGGCTCCTTCAGTTCAAACGAGAATACGCCTTCATAACATGACCACAATACAGCCCTAAGACTTTTCGGTGAAGTGTGCGTTTATTTTAAACTCGTTGACCCGACGAGGATCGAAGTGCTCAGGAGAAAAATGCGAGCATTAAAAACGACGAGGGCAGAATAAGAAAGAACAGGAAGTTGGAATGAGCAGACGTTAAATGACATTCGAGGCGAAAAAAAACGTGAGGACATTCACTATATATATATATATATATATATATATATATATATATAAAAGCTAAGCAAAATTCATCTGTCTTCAAATAGCATACGTGTCTATACTTGTCTATGTGATACAGTGCAAGATATAAAACTGACACTTTCATTATAGAACTCCCCCCACTCACTTCCCTGTAAAATGGTTAGGTTTATACCAATATGAAATAAATGAACGAACACTTGTTTAAACAGAGGGGAAAAAAGGCCTAAGTTATAGAAAAGGAATAACGTCTCATTGTTAACTGCAGAGTGGACCATTATCTAGTGGCTAAGGCCCCAAAAACCTTGCACAGTTACCGATACCGCATATCGCGAGACAATGTATTTTTTTTTTAAATTGTATTTTGTGTGATTAATTTTTGTTATAGGTTAAAGAGATGATGAATAGAGGCACTAAGAATAAAAAAAAAAAGTTGTTACTTGGGTTACGACTCCACGAACTAGAAATAGGTCGCTATCCAAAATAGGCTGACTAACACGCTTCTTCAGCATCATAATGTTGTGGTATATAGAAGGGAGCTAATTGACAGAAAGAGTAGAAGTCAATACTGGAAGAGTGTTTGACAATATAAACCATTTTCATTTCTGCATTTAGGGGATGGGTCTTCTTCTACCATTCCGTACCAGTGAAGTGCATGCCTCTGCCAAGCACACTCTATATCAAGCTTAGATTTAACAAGCTTTGGCAAAAATGAATTTGAACTATTGGTACTGTGTCAGTTCACATAAATATTTATTGATCTCATATGCTCTGTTTTTTTGTTTGTTTTTTTTTCCAGCTAGATAATTTTATGCATTTTCACCAATATTTTTGATGAAGTAAAAAAAAAGAACATTAAAGAACAATGGACAGAACTATCCAATGAAACCAGTTGTTACCTTTCGGTGCATTAAGATACATTTGTAGGCCTGAATCCTAACTAGAATAGTAGCCTCGTGTGTGTTTGCAAGTAACTGTGTCCCGAGAAACATTGCCGATGTAAATAATCTATAAGATAGACCTAATCGATTGTCTTCATTACTATTCAACTGCATATATTTAATACTAAAACAAAAAAGTGGCAGGTCTTTTCCAGGCTCCACTTTCAGAGTGTTTCAAACTTAAATAAAGAGAGCAGGCACAGGATGGACATGACAAATAGCATCCAGGGATCTGAAAATAAAAGGTCAAAGGTTAAGATAGACCAAGGCTGCTTGTAAGATTTTTTATCTTCTAATTTTCAAACATAATTGTTATTGCGGTTTTTTTTTCCTTCAAAAGTTTTAAAAACATTAACGTCCACTTAGATTTACTTTTGATTGGTCTCAGGAAGAAGTTTGGTGGAGTGACTTCCACTAAAATGTTCAACAAGTAAAGTCCATACAAAGTGTTTTCTTTCTTTAAAACATATTCTGAACGTTGTTAGCAGCTGGTATCCATAAATGATATGTAAATAGGCCTACACATACTAATAACCTCCTTGCATATTTAATTTATAAAAAGATTCGCTTTCAAAAGATAAACAACAATTAGCTGATGTGTACCATGACTTGGAAAGCTGCAAAATATTGTGAAATTTGACTTTTTAATCTTTTAAACGGGACAGACTGACACACAAAGCATGGTTTTTCCTCATTCCTATATATTTATTTCTGTAAACGCGATATGTACAGTAGTATAACAAAAAAAAAGGCCTACTTCAAAAATAAAAATTTTGTTGAGTGAAGTCAGTTGAATCCATCATGGAATTAATTTTTAATAGATCTTCACTAAAAATAGTAAATTTGTGCTATTGAGTATATTCAAAAACTACGTCCGCATAGTATGGGTTTAATACACAGAATGACTCCATAACACATCTCTAGCATTTCGTGAAGACACTCTGCCCCCCCCCCCCCCTACAGACAGAGTTGATTTAAACTCTAGCATTTCGTGAACATATTCTGCCCCTTCAGACAGAGAGAGGAAGGAGATTTTAAAAAATGTATTTAATACAGAAAGAGAAAGATATGTACCCAGATAGATTTCTCACCAAACTTACCAGCGCCATGGACATCGCTGTTGTTTTTGGCTTCCATTAGACTATTAAAGTTGGATCTCGATGGGTTAGTATCGCCTGTTGACAGAGCAAAATGTCAAGCAAATTTAAATTAATTCTTAGGATTATACACCAACACGAAAAATACAAGCATTCCTTAAAAACTATTTAAACACAAAAATAGTTATGGGCATGAACATTATTGCTGTCATAACGATGTCACCGGACAAGATTTGAACTAGGGACCAGCGAGAGAACATTTGGAAGCGCATACAGTTTGGCTAGTGGGGCAAGACACTTGAGACTTATGTGAAGTCAACTGGTTGTAGTGCTAGTGGGGCAAGACACTTGAGAATGGATCTCATTCACCAATCGTAAACAAACAACATTTAGTCATGTGATCTTATTAAGAAAACAACGGAAAAAGCGGTCACGTGACAACCATCATGAATTAAACATGAGATCGTAAATTATATAGAAGAGATAGAGCACCACGTGGCTAAATGTTGTTTGTTTACGATTGGTGAATGAGGTCCATTATGTGAAGTCAACAGGATGCAGGGCTGAGTGACATGGCATACGTTAGAAAGAAAAATATTTTTTAGAAAATTAAAAAAAAAAGACTTCTATTGGGTGTACTTGTATCAATTAGTTTGGATCAGTCTTGTAATTAAATTTGTAATAGATCTAGACTAACAATAATAAATCCGTGCGATTAGAAATATTTTTTCCAATTGTTTTTGTTTAGCATAATTTCATACTTTTAGCTTTCTCAATGGGTTAGGATCTTATCACTTGTCTGGACCAGTTGGAAAAAAGAGGGGACAGAGAGAAAGAAAGAATTGGGTATCTGGGTGATCGCTTTTTAAGTGTATTTATATTAAAAAAAGGTGAACGACCTGAATACGAAATCGTGGGCTCAAGCTTTCTCAAGCCAGCATGATATGCTGGTAATCCATGAACATGGAAGATTGTTTAGTTATCTATTGTTTCTGTAGTCTCGTCCTTTTTCATCTATCTGTTCACTCAGACGACTGACCAATAAAGTGGACTATTTTAGTCAAGTGTCTGGGGGAGGTATGGCGAGAGTGAAAGTTAGTTTGACATTTTGGTATAATAGTTATATCCCCTTGTATATGTATTCCCAGGTTGTGAATGTGCACGTGTTGTGAACTGAATGGTTAAGTCTTCGTTGAATGTAAGAGAGAGTGTGTTAAGTTAGTGAGGTCTTGCTCCCGGTTCAGGAAGGTTTGACAGTCACTTCCTGGACTGGTGTTTATGTATTATTTACTGACAGTTAATATACTTGTTTGCTTATTAAGTATTTAGTATTATTTGCATTTCCATGGATATCTAAGTTGGAGTTCAAGTGTATCAAGTAGTAATTGTTCTTATTTGTGGAACAAGTATTTGTGTAGCAAGCATTAATTATTTGGAATAGAGTAATCAAACAACCCCCTAGCGAGCCACAGGAACCAAGTCAAGTCAAAGCATATAAAAGAACCCCTGACATCAAGTACAATTTCTCCCCTGTTCGAGATAACAAACAAATTAATTAATTAACAATAATTAATTAACTAGTTGGTAATTTTTTTTAATTATTCTTGTGTTGTCAGGTTTATTTATTTTGCATGAACCAGTAATATACTATCACCTTCCCCTGGTCTGTGACGATAGGCGCGGCCCTTGGTAACCCAGGCGACGGTCAAGCCGGTATGGATTTATTTACGGTCATGATCTCATTTGGCGTGACGAGGGCTAGATACTTGCATGGCGGTGCAAATTCCTCTCTATGCTTGACCACAGCCGAGAACTTCTAATTAGGTGGTTCGCCTTGGTCCTGAACATGTGGACGTCGTAGTCCATCTTGGGACACTTCCGTTCTTAGCCGTAAAGGCCCGTATTGCACACTCCACAGCAGCACTGGCAAAACTCGAAACAATATGGAAAGACATAGGCATAGCCATTCTTATATGCATGCGAGTCTTGGACGCTGAATGCAGAGCTAGAGAGGAGTATGCTAGCAATGGAATTGAAATGCTTCAGAAGGTTCCTAGGTATCACATTTAAAGACCGCATTACAAATGAAGAGATATGAGACAGAGTTACTAAAGTGATTGGACCCCACGATGACCTACTTGTTAAAGGAAACGGAAACTAAAACGCTATGGCAATTTTACAAAGTCTTCGGGACTTGCAAAGGCCTTCCTTCAGGGAACAGTACCAGGAAAAAGAAGAAGAGGTAGACAGTTGAAGCGATGTGAAGACAAAAGAATGGACGGGCATGCCATTAAAAGAGGTTCTATCCAAGTAAAAAAACAGAGGAATGGAGAAAGACGGTTGACAAATCTTGTGTGGTACCCCAATGGTCCAACTAATGGACAAGAGAAAGTCAGGTAAAAGAAATAATTGTGCGAAATTTCAGTCTGATCCGAGATTGGGTGTGGGAGAAATAACGTGTACAAACTTTTCACCAGACAGACAGAAAGAGTGATTTGATATAAGCTTATAAAAAAGTCAGTAAATTGGTACAATTGACATACAAACCAATGGTCTCACCAGACACAGTGACGGCATAAACGGAAGCTTGTTCATCATAGTATGAAGCTACTTTGTGGATGGCGATGCATCTCAAATTGTGAGTATAGTTGTCTCGGGTTAACGTCATCGTAAGGTTGCTTGTGACAGTGTGGACGTAACTCATATAAGGTTTATCCACCGTAAATACACTACGGACCACCTGGGCATCAGTCGGCACACCATCATCATCATTCAGCCTGTGAAAACCAAGTTATTGGGTTTATCAAACAAGATTAAACAGATTAATATTACTCATAATAATGATTCCTCTGTAGACACTATTAAAGGGGCCATAGTCAATTCTGTTTACCCTTTAACACTGATCGCTATTAGCTAATGTAGCAAATAATAAAAATAATAATTGTAACAGTAAATCATGTGTGGTTTTTGATTCACCAGCATGCCACACAGCAAGTCAAATGTAGAAACGCTCACTCATTGTTACAGTAACTCAATTTATTAATAAACTACAAGTCTTTGTCTAGACCTTTGTCCACACACCTGCATTAATACTGTTTCAATAATAATAATAATAAAGATAATAGAATGTAAATAGGAATTACAGCAGGACCTCAGCCCTTTTTTGGGGGGGGGGGGGGGCTGAGGGGGTGTCTTTACATTGAAAAAAATGTCAATTTTTAATAAGATAGGCGTATCAAATAAATGAAAATAAGATAATTGAGATTACATGTACAAGTGTTAAAGTGATTTCTTGGCAAATATGACATGCTTTTAGATCGACTATTATTTGAGTTGAGTTAGGGCATGGCGTGTGAAGAGGGTAGATGCCTTTACAAAAAACATCGTCAACTTTTAAAAATTCAAGCCCCCCCCCCCCCCTTTTTCCATTTGTCTGAGCTGTCGAGTGCCAGACTTTGACCTGACACATTGGCTGCAAATATATTTTAGTCAATCTTCAGATCTTGAAAACCCACGTATCTTACAATGAAATTGTGAAACAGATCCAGAAGTGGGATCATTGCATTCTCATGCAATAAAGGCTGACAGTTTCAATTGCATTTTTTCTTTTCGGTAACAGGTTTCTACCTGCTAGCAAGCGTTTTTTTTTTCGCCTTTGCCGTCGGACAATGGCTTCATTCCTGTACTCAAAATGTGAACCACTCAAAGAATGCCGCCATATTGTTTATGTGTTTGATTTCATAAAGC